ATAAATTATCAAGTTTAGTTATTCTTATTTCTTTATTGCAAAACGCTAAAACTGGCACAGTTTTGGAGAGAAATGGGCTCTCATTTGAACTAGGGCTGCACGATAAATCGCATGCGATTCGCTGCAAGCGAGAAATCGCTGACAAGCTGCGCAAAACCACGATCATATTTTGCGCATGTTTTGCGCAGCTCGTCAGTGAACAACGGCTCTGTGTAGTTAATGCTGCTCAATGTGAAAGCCCGCAGGTGATGGAGATTTACCGCTGATTACAGAATGTTTCAGTACTCTTTCCACCACTGACTATATGGACAAAAGTATTAGGACACCTGACCATTACAGTAACTGGGACTTTAATGACATCTCATTCTAAATACGTAGACATGGAGTTTGGTCCCCCCTTTGCTTCCACGTGAGGCTTGCATGCAGCTGCTCGTCCATGAAAACCCATTCCATGGAGCGTCCGCACACAGTTTTTGTGCTGATACTAATCCAGTGGAAGTTTGCACTGAATTCTGCAGCTATGGAATCGGCAGAGCGTTGGCGACTTATACAAACCATGCACCTCAGCACTCGGTTGAGTTGCTGTTGTTCCTAAACGCTTCAACTTTCTAATAATACCACTTACAGTTGACCGTGGAATATCTAGAGGGGATGAAGTTTCATGCACTGACTTACTGCAAAGGTGGCATCCTATCACAGTACCACACTTCAATTCACTGAGCTCTTCAGAACGACCCCTTTTCAGACTGCATGACATACTTTTATCCATATGGCTATACAGTTCATCATCATGCATCCATATTGTTGGGGACTGAAACCCTCCATGCTCTACCAGTTGAGCTACAGGTAATATGAATGGCTATTTGTATGTAAACATGTTATTCCCTTCCATTGTGTGGTCTTGTCAAATAGATCTCATAATGATCACTCCAGATAGCCCTTGTTGTATTTTAAGGCTCATCAAATACTCTGTGTGTTAATCCAGATATAACTATTTGCTGAGTAGAGCCGCTGGTCTGTTGCAGTGGCAGAAATGCTGAGTAAAAATGTATCTTCCTTATTACAAAGATTGGAATGATACTAGATTTCTGAGAATTTTAGTTTAGACGCATGTTAGACATTATATAATTTTTTTTCCAGGTTAGGGTGGTCTGTGGACTGTATCCTTGAGCTGCTTAATTCTAAATGGCTTTAAGTTAGCAGTGGGAAATCTGTTTTTTGAAAGCAGGTGTTCAAACTAAACGTTTTCTGTGTATAACACACCGTCCCACACAAAACCCACAGATCTTCACTGATCTACAAGTTCTTGACCCATGTAAACATTTACTAAATGCTGTCAAGCCATGTGATGACCCATTTTTAGCCAATGAAGAATAAGCATAGTGACCACTAACCAAAATATAACTAATGGAACACATAAGGTCAAAGGAATTCTTTGCACAGAAGTAAAAGTCTGTAAAACATTATTCACTGACAGTACTTAAGGGACTCTTAATCAAAAGATTAGAATATATTAATCTATAGTGCACGCCACTGTAAATATATATATATATATAAATGTAAGTGTGTGTGTGTATGTACAATAAACATTTATGAGGGACAGGTGCAGAGACCAGCTCAGTGCAGTTATCTATGAAATACAGTACAAGGTGCAATCTAAATCTACATTAACATAGTGAAATGTGGATACAGTAGGGTGCAAATGAGAAGTATAAAACACAGAAGGTGCATTATTCAGAATGAGGTATTTGTACATATATAAACATACGGTCAGTGACCATATCAGTGTAATGGGCATCATGAGGTAGAATGTACAAAGGAATCTGCAACAATTATAACAGGTGATGCTGTATATTTTATTTAAGCATATTAATATAGTGCTATTCACATTGTGCGTAAGACCTCTGATGTCCAGTGTGACATAAGATATAGCTGTTTTCCTGATTGTTTAGAAGTTGAAGGGGGTTTGGAGTTAATTTTTGGCTCTTGTTTGTTAGTATTGACCGTTCAGGACAAAGTCTAGCACAGACTTTTGTCCAACACATCACTCTGCTGAACACCAGTCGTCTTCCCAAGATTCAAGGTCAGTCTAACATCTGCTCTGTTCTCTTGCTTATCATTTTTGGTGTAGTTTTTGGCAGTTATTTTTTAATGTATCCTTAAAATCTGCAATTGTTCTTTAAATAAATTGTAATTTCAGTGCTTTTTCAAAATATTAATTAGCTATACTGTGATTTTAAAGTGGTTTTGAAGTATACTAATGTAGTATCCAAATCCAAAGTGTTCCAAATTTGGTTTAATGCATCTTAAACTAGTCGCGCATTAAAAAAATGACTGATGCTCTGTCATATTTTACAGAGAAGTGGGGGCACAAAGTATCTGCCCCTCACGCTTAATGTCCCAAAGTTCAAACGGCACATCAGTCATTAACCAACATGCCTAAAACGAACCTCCCCCTTTCATTTGCTCTCATCCTCTGTTTATTTGCACTGGAAGCATTGCACAGAGTCTGCATACACTGGACTTGGCATCCATAATTACAGGTGAGAGGATTTTTTTTAAATTTCCAAACAATTTCAGACTTTTTCAGTGGTAGTGGTATGTTTACGGAGTTGGATACTAAAGTCAATCTTTTTCTGCTGCTTTTCTATGTTTATCTGCTTACAGGTGTCACTGATGTTTGGTCTGTAGAGATTTGTTTGTCGTAAAGAAATCGTGTTGGTCTGTATATGTCGATGTGGCTGTATGTATGAATGTACAACATATGAGCTGTGGTGTTTGCTGAATAAGAATTGGAATTGCACAATATTTAAACATACTGCTGCAATGTGTCTCTTCTGCAACCCTTAAGATTAGGTTTGTGCAGGGATCTATAGTTCACCACTTTAGGTTTTATCAAAACAACCTTTCTTAGCATCTTCAACAAGTGTCCGAGCAGTAGAGATGTTTTCTGTTCTTCGGCAACCAGCTTTGAGTCGTTTCATATCTGTGCGGCTCAAGAGCGTGGCTGCCTCACAGTCCCTGGCGGCAAAACGTGACCGAGACCTCTGTAACCCCTCATCTCCTGACTTTCTGACATTTGAGGATCCTCAAGCATTCAGGGTGAAGAGTTTCTGGGAACTGATCCGAGCCCTCGGAGTCTTCAGGCTTTGCTCGTTCCCTGCGCTGGTTAACAACTGTGGTAAGGTGAGGCAACAGCTAGATTTTTGTGTGAACTGCCAATGAAATGCACTTACTGAATCAACGAAGACCTATAAAGTCACCACACTTTAACACACTCTGTTAGCTTGGATAGTTTAGAAATTTTATCTGGTCTAGGAGAAATTGTATAGTTGAGTATCATCTGCTCAACAGTGGAAACTAATCCCGTTTTCTAATAATATTTTAGGCAGCATGTATAATGAAAACATTAGAGGGCCTATTACAGATCCTTGTGGTATTCCATACTTTACCACTGTGAGATTAGATGTTTCCTCATTTACAGAGACAAAATTGTGTTGTTTCTTAATGAGAGGATTGATAGCCGAGGCTTCTTTCCTCGGTCCTGTAGTAAACGTATTGTTTGCTTTCACTATTTGGGGAAGAGACACAGTCTATAGAATGGACTACATATGATGTAGTATCATTTAAGTGGTTAGATCATATTCTATCATAACTGTGATTGATGTTTGAAATTTTACATGCTACTGTCATATGATGCGTAGCGTCCTGGTGATGTTTTCTGTCAGGAGCTCTGTGGACAACATCCAATTACACTAATGTTTCTTGTTATCTCATGTCTAACGAAGCTGATGACCATTACAAGGAAGGTTTTGGGCAAGCAATGTTTCTGCATGGTCATGCGCCCATCTGTGTACGCTCAGTTTGTTGCCGGGGAAACAGAAGGTGAGATTGCAGACTCCATGCAGAAGATGAGATCGCTGGGGCTCCATCCTATGTTAGCTGTCCCCATTGAAGAGGACCTGGGAGAGAGCACTGGGTATTCAGATTTTGGATCATTTTTGGCTTTATGAGGGCATATTTTGTAAACTTGTTAGATTTATAGTGAACACACTTTTTTTTTAACTCGTGAAAATGGATTGCTGCATTAATGATGTATTTTATCCAGGCCAAACCAGAAATTATCATTACCCTGGTTTCCTTGTCTAGGTTAGAATAGTGGCTGTTAAAGCAGCTATACAAACTCAGTTAACCCTGCTTGGAGATAGAGCAGCACCACAGGACTAAATTGTGATTCTTTTCTACTCTGTTACTCTTAAGTAAAATAGCTTTCTGAACGAGAAAAACTTGATTTTGTTCATTGGGAATTGATTGGACTGTCAGATTGTATGCCAGTTGCCAGAATTCATGTCAAAACTGAGGTATACTTAAGGCTTTACTGAGCTCAGACGCAGAGCTGCATCACAAGGCCCAGTGAGCCCAGATATGCAGCTGCACCATGAGACCCTCTAAGCCCAGAGGCTGAGCTGCACCATGGGACCCAGTGAGCCTGGATGTGGAGCTCTACATTATACATTTCTGAATTTTCTGAATAAAGATTTTGAATTTGTAGCAAAGCAGTAATTCATAATTATATAGTTATGTAATATGTTTCATGACACAAAGGTCTATCTACAGGGAACGTCGATATGAAGACAACCTAGCGGCTATGCTGGAGTGTGTCCACATGTCTCACAGCAAAGGCTGGAGTAAAAATCCCATGATGCAGCTGAAGATCACCGCACTAGTCAGCCCTGAGCTGTGTGTGAGTGTTTCATCTATAAAGATCACTTTATATGAGTTGAGATTAACAAAGATTAAGGTTCTTTGTTTGATATGTACATTTGATAGATTGATGCTGTCCTTTTCGATGTTGTCATTTAAAAGTGCAAATGTTACTAGCAGTATTAGTAATTATATTAATTCCCCCTCAGTCTAAGCTGACGTCTCTACTAAAGACAGAACAGTATGATCTGAATGAACTTGTGAGAGCCATGGAGGGAGAGGTACAGATATTACTATTATTTCTTTTCTGTAGAACGTCACAAGGTTATTATAATCAGCTCTTATTTAGTATGTATTGTTTTAGATGGTGTTCTCTTTACCCGATAGGAAGTCATGTTTCCTGGTCTGACTGAGAGTGAAAACGCACACTTATTATTGGGCCTTCAGAGACTCAACAAAATAGGAGAGGTACCAAAACTTAAACACAAATTAGCAAAAAGAAAGTTAATGCTGGGATTGACTGGACATGCTGTGTGTTTATAGGCGAGTGTTAATAAAGTCTGTGTTCTGGTGGATGCTGAGTACACTTACATGAATCCTGCCCTGTCACTCATCACCATGGCAATGATGAAGAAGTTCAGTCAGCAAAGCGCCTGGATCTGGAACACACATCAGTGCTACCTTAAGGTCACCACAACCAACCTTTCATTGCCATTAAAAAAATCTTAACATTTCTCTCTTCTAAAATATATTTTTAAAAACAATTTTACCTAGTAAGATTTAAGGAATATAACGCCCTTTCTGTCTAAAAAGCAAATTTTATGTCCCTAATGGCTTTACAGACATACTTTGTTTCTTCACCAGGAATCAAGGAATCTGTTACTTGATGCCATTCAGACGTCCATTGATCAGTCTTTCTGTCTCGGTGTTAAACTCGTCAGAGGCGCTTACATGGACAAAGAGAGAAAACTGGCTGAAAAAGAAGGGCGAACAGATCCAATCCATGAATCATGGGAACGTACCAATGACAGGTGATTCTTTGACTCCAAATGACATTAACCCTATAAAGCCTACTGTATCTTATTTGATACGCAAGGCCTCTAAATTAGCAATATGATAAATAGTTCATACTTTTTTAGCAAGTAATAGCCCTTTTAGTATAATTGTGAAAGCATCCACCTGCCGCTTGTGGTTCATGTGTCAAAAGTTAAAAGAATAACTTTTATATTGTTAGTAATATTTCAAGATGAACATTTACTGTACTAAAACAATATATATATATATATACTGTATATAATGTCATGTAGAAATATGAGTATATTTTTGGGAGATGGAGTGACAACTGATATTTAGATGCATTTTATGTAAGTATCTGCTGTACTGTTATAAAGATCTCTGAATAAAATTAAGGTGTTTTTTTTTTCCTCCTTCAGTATGAGCTCCACATTCTTATTATATCATACTATATGAGCCATAAAAGCCTGATATGTCAAATGTGATACTCAACAACAAAAACTCTTTTAAAAAAAAAAAAAAAAAAAAAAAATGATTTCAGATGTTCTAGTTATCCTCGGCTCTTAAATGTATACATTACTCTTTGTGGGTGCATATCTGTTCAAATTTATATAAATTAACAGTAACTCCCGCTTGGTTTATTTATTTATTAAAATCTAATGCTAATCTATTTCTGTTCAGTGTTTTAAGTGCTGAAAATCCTTTTTAGGTCTGTGTTTTTAAATACCGTCTTTTATTTGCAGTTATAATGGATGTCTAGAGATCATGCTGAACCTCATTTCAGAGAAACCTGATCGCTATATGATAATTGTTGCCACTCACAATGAAGAATCAGTCAGACGGGCAGTGACACGGTACACCTTCGTACATTGATCATTCATCTGATTATCAGCAGTGTAAAGATCAGTGATGTTTATTTGTATGTTGTTTCTCTGTTTCAGCATGGAAGAGTTGGGGCTTCACAGAGACGGCAACTCTGTCTGTTTTGGTCAGCTGATGGGCATGTGTGACCATGTATCTCTTACTCTAGGTAAGAAGTCAGTTTTATTCAGTAGGGCTGAATTAATTCATTATCTTAGCTTTCTGGAACACCAGTCAACCCTCAGATTTATGTTCTCTTCACAGCCCAGCATGGTTTCTCAGTGTATAAGTCAGTGCCGTACGGCTCAGTGGACGATACGCTGCCATATCTGGTGCGAAGGGCTCAGGAGAACCGCACTGTGCTCCAGGGAATCCGTAAGGAAAGAGATCTGCTCAGACAGGAGCTGCGACATAGACTCAAAGAAAAGATCACAAGGGCCAGATAGAAAATCCTTCTACGTTGAGGATGATTTAGGATTAAAATGAACATGAAGTAAAAATTAGCCTTTTCTTAATGCATGTTCCTGGTGTTACTGTGCACAATTCATCAGTGAAAATTATTCCTGTGTTTATAGGCGAGTGTTAATAAAGTCCGTGTTCTGGTGGATGCTGAGTACACTTACATGAATCCTGCCCTGTCACTCATCACCACGGCAATGATGAAGAAGTTCAGTCAGCAAAGCGCCTGGATCTGGAACACACATCAGTGCTACCTTAAGGTCACCACAACCAACCTTTCATTGCCATTAAAAAAATCTTAACATTTCTCTCTTCTAAAATATATTTTTAAAAACAATTTTACCTAGTAAGATTTAAGGAATATAACGCCCTTTCTGTCTAAAAAGCAAATTTTATGTCCCTAATGGCTTTACAGACATACTTTGTTTCTTCACCAGGAATCAAGGAATCTGTTACTTGATGCCATTCAGACGTCCATTGATCAGTCTTTCTGTCTCGGTGTTAAACTCGTCAGAGGCGCTTACATGGACAAAGAGAGAAAACTGGCTGAAAAAGAAGGGCGAACAGATCCAATCCATGAATCATGGGAACGTACCAATGACAGGTGATTCTTTGACTCCAAATGACATTAACCCTATAAAGCCTACTGTATCTTATTTGATACGCAAGGCCTCTAAATTAGCAATATGATAAATAGTTCATACTTTTTTAGCAAGTAATAGCCCTTTTAGTATAATTGTGAAAGCATCCACCTGCCGCTTGTGGTTCATGTGTCAAAAGTTAAAAGAATAACTTTTATATTGTTAGTAATATTTCAAGATGAACATTTACTGTACTAAAACAATATATATATATATATACTGTATATAATGTCATGTAGAAATATGAGTATATTTTTGGGAGATGGAGTGACAACTGATATTTAGATGCATTTTATGTAAGTATCTGCTGTACTGTTATAAAGATCTCTGAATAAAATTAAGGTGTTTTTTTTTTCCTCCTTCAGTATGAGCTCCACATTCTTATTATATCATACTATATGAGCCATAAAAGCCTGATATGTCAAATGTGATACTCAACAACAAAAACTCTTTTAAAAAAAAAAAAAAAAAAAAAAATGATTTCAGATGTTCTAGTTATCCTCGGCTCTTAAATGTATACATTACTCTTTGTGGGTGCATATCTGTTCAAATTTATATAAATTAACAGTAACTCCCGCTTGGTTTATTTATTTATTAAAATCTAATGCTAATCTATTTCTGTTCAGTGTTTTAAGTGCTGAAAATCCTTTTTAGGTCTGTGTTTTTAAATACCGTCTTTTATTTGCAGTTATAATGGATGTCTAGAGATCATGCTGAACCTCATTTCAGAGAAACCTGATCGCTATATGATAATTGTTGCCACTCACAATGAAGAATCAGTCAGACGGGCAGTGACACGGTACACCTTCGTACATTGATCATTCATCTGATTATCAGCAGTGTAAAGATCAGTGATGTTTATTTGTATGTTGTTTCTCTGTTTCAGCATGGAAGAGTTGGGGCTTCACAGAGACGGCAACTCTGTCTGTTTTGGTCAGCTGATGGGCATGTGTGACCATGTATCTCTTACTCTAGGTAAGAAGTCAGTTTTATTCAGTAGGGCTGAATTAATTCATTATCTTAGCTTTCTGGAACACCAGTCAACCCTCAGATTTATGTTCTCTTCACAGCCCAGCATGGTTTCTCAGTGTATAAGTCAGTGCCGTACGGCTCAGTGGACGATACGCTGCCATATCTGGTGCGAAGGGCTCAGGAGAACCGCACTGTGCTCCAGGGAATCCGTAAGGAAAGAGATCTGCTCAGACAGGAGCTGCGACATAGACTCAAAGAAAAGATCACAAGGGCCAGATAGAAAATCCTTCTACGTTGAGGATGATTTAGGATTAAAATGAACATGAAGTAAAAATTAGCCTTTTCTTAATGCATGTTCCTGGTGTTACTGTGCACAATTCATCAGTGAAAATTATTCCAACGAAAAAAGTTTGCCTTTGTAACATATTATTTGGATTAAATAAGACTTTTTAATGTCTTTAAGAAGTTTCTTGTGCTCAAGGCTGCATTTATTTGGTTAAAAATGCAGGGGGAAAGTAATATATTGTGAAATTTTATTACAATTTGAAATAATTTTCAAATAGTTTTCCACTTTGATATATTTTAAAATGTAATTTATTCCAGCCATTACTCCAGTCTACAGTGTCACATGATCCTTCAGAAACCATTATTGATCACTGTGAACAACAACATAAAAATCAAATAAATTATATTAAAATATATCAAACCACTTATCTACGGTGTTGTGCTTATTTGAGGTGTCTCTCTCAGCACCCTGTGCTTGAGTGTAGTGCCGTTTACCTAACCTTATTTTAAACCCTCTTTGTCCAACACCATATGGAAAAGGAGGAAATAGAAATAAATGGAGGTGGGAAATTGAAGGAGGGGTTTGAGGTAATTATCACCTGGACTTTAATGACCATTCCTCAGTTTCTAACCCACACCCACTCTCAACACCTGACCATGAGCAAATGTCATGCAGAACTGGAATCAACCCTGAAGGCTAAGTAACACACAGAGATGATGGTTAATACTCTGTGAGAGAACAGACATGCCAGTTTTATTTGTTTTTTAAAAAAAAAAATTTAAGTTCTCACTTTCATGTTCTGTCATCATTTGCATGTCTAATACTTTCTATAGGGGGTGAATTCAGGTAAATCAGGACACTTTTTGGCCCAGTTATCCTGAATTAATCCTAATCTTTCTTAACTATCAAGTCACTCATCTGTTATCGTGGTTGGCCAGCAAAGTGCATCAGCCATATCCTCATTTTTTGTCAAAAGTTTTTAAAAGTTTCAATAGGTTCCTCACAGTTTTGAAGAATAGAGCATCTGGAAAAGCAAACTAACAGACATGCCAGTTTTATTTGTTTTTTTAAAAAAAAATTAAAGTTCTCACTTTCATGTTCTGTCATCATTTGCATGTCTAATACTTTCTATAGGGGGTGAATTCAGGTAAATCAGGACACTTTTTGGCCCAGTTATCCTGAATTAATCCTAATCTTTCTTAACTATCAAGTCACTCATCTGTTATCGTGGTTGGCCAGCAAAGTGCATCAGCCATATCCTCATTTTTTGTCAAAAGTTTTTAAAAGTTTCAATAGGTTCCTCACAGTTTTGAAGAATAGAGCATCTGGAAAAGCAAACTAAACTGTTAACTGTTTGCCTCATTAATTATTTGACCAACTAAATTAGATTTGCCAATAATTGGCATTTTATGACAGGAATAAAAAGCACAGGTGTGTTGTAAGGTATAAATGTTAATGGATGTGCAACGTCTTTATACAGACTTTGATAAAAGGTCTAGCAATATTATTTTGCGTATGCCACTTTTTGAATTTTGGTTTCTGATGCAATGACATTAAAGAGTGTCTAAAGTGTCCAAATACTTTTTGGGTCCACCATAGAATGTGGATTTATTTTAATTTTTTTTACGTATATACACACACAAGATTATAAAAAATAAAAATACAATTAAACTCATTCAAACTTTATTTTGTCATTTAAGCATACAAATAGAATTAAGAAAAATATACATCATTATTCAACTCATCAAGCAGTAGTCAGGATAAAACAAAAACATTCTAACCTTCTTTGTCAGCCGTAAACACTAAGAAGTTTTACATTTTAAACTACGCTTCGGTTTGTCTCTTTTTGTCTCACAGGTCCTCCAATGCAGTCATAAAATGTGCAGTGCTTCCATCATCTTCAGAGCAAAGTTGCTGGTTGATGCAGACATCAAAATCTCCTTGCAAACTTTGTTTGTTTACATGTTTTTTTTTCTTTTTATTCTCAGAATACTGCTCTTCCGCTAAGGTCAAAGTAAGAGCCCTGACCATGAGCATGCTGTGGCGGTCTATAAATATGCCTAAGGGGTAAATGCAGGGTGGACCGAGGATCCTGGCAAAGACGGAGTGAGTAGGAAGGAAAAGGGTTATAAAGGGATGGGGGAGAAGAGGAGGAGAGAGAGGAATCAAGAGAAGGGAGCAAGGAAGGGTGCAGTACCATATCTGGCAGATAGGGGGCAGCAGAACTGAGCTGCGAGAAGGTGCCTATCTCAGTGGGAGCTACAGCAGGGTATGCGTTTGAAGAGGAAGGGCATTGTGGATGGGTTGAGGCTTGAGGAACCAGGGGATTAAACTGAGATAGTAACTGAGAGGTACTTGAGGTTTGGATTGGGGGAAAAGACTGGGAGGTAATCTGACAGGGGTTTGCCGTTTGGGGTGGAATGTGAGGGAAGGAGGGATTAGGGTAGGACTGGGAAAAGGTAGATTGAATTTGGGTTGTATTCGGGATCGCAGGGACACTATGGATCGAGCTAGATGAGGGCAGAGTCAGACACTGGAGAGGATGTGGACCAGATGGGATAGGAGTTGGGAAGGGGTAAGATGTGTGAGAGGTGAGAATTGGTGCAGGGTTTTGGAGAGGCCCAGGAGTGTGTTTGGGCAGAGATGCAGGGAATGAGGGGACTCCATATGCTGTGGTAGGCTGCAGTGTGTTGGAAACTGATTGCATTGGGCCTTGATGGATAACATTGGTGGAAGGCAATGAAAAGGATCCGGTTGTTGGATAAATTGGGTTTGGAATTTCTGGGATGGTTCTCAGACCTGAAATGGATGTGGATTGGGAAGCTGGAAAACTATCAGTTGGTGGAGTAGGTCCAGGGGTACCCAAGTTGTGGCTATGGTTCTGTTGAACAGGGGGAAAGGGGAAGCCCATTGGGTTTGGATTGGAAGGTGTCATTATAGAGTTAGAATGTGCTGCCGGAGGGAAGGGGAATGCAGTTGGAGTTGTATTTGGGTCAGAAGGGGTGGGAATTTGGTTAGGGTTGCACTGTGGCACTGGCTGAAAGGCTAGAGCAGATTGGGGTAGACTTTGACATGGAGGGGATGTTGGATCGGGGTCGTTTGAGGACTGCACCGGAGGGAAGGGAAAGGCAGTTTGGGTTGGGTTTTGGACTGCAGGAGTTGTTGCGTTGGATGAGCTTAATCCTCCATAATCCACTTGATTTTGGCCAGGGTCAATAGTTAACCCAGAACCTTGACAAGAAGAGGGAGGGATAGACTGGAAAGGTGGATTTGTAGGTGTATGGGGGCTTAGGTTGTCCTGGGATTGGTCTGTTGGAAGAAAAGAGTGGTAGGATGATGAATGGAGAAGGTGCGGAGAGATGGGAGGGTATGAAGAGCCTGGGGGAGAGGTCGTAGAGGAGGGCATAGTTGTAGAGGTATTTAGACCAGGATGGTCTGATGAAGGCATAGAGGAATACGTGGACATAGAGGGTGGCGATGAAATCGGTGAGGACTGGGGAAGCTGAAGGCCAGAGTTCTGTGTGGAGGACACCATGGAATAGATGGAAGATGACTGAGGCAAAGGCACTGATGCATGCGATGAGGAGCTGAGCTGAGGAGTTGGGAAAGTTGATGTATATCCAGAAAGGCCCATCATTTGTCCAGACCTGTAACAAAAAGTAAGACTATCTTTGATAAACATGCCCAAAAACATTGAAAGCTGCTGTTAATGAAGCCAGGAGGTTATAGCACTTACCCATCCATCAGTGTGTTGTTTACATTATTTTCAGAGGCTGTCTGTTGTTGATTCTCCATTGAGGGAATCTCAGAGGTCAAGAACTCTTGTCCAAGGACAAGGGGTTGGTCAGAGACTGTCTGATCTAGGAGGGATGGAACTTCCGTATGAAAACCTGAGTCTGTAATTGGGAGGGCGGTGTTTATAATGGAGAGGGCGGAGCTTGGAATTTCCACCGACTGTGGTAGGAGCTCAGTGGAATCACATGGGTCACATGACTCTGAAAGAGGAATAAAGAGAGAATAGTGTCATAAAGTAAGAAAGCAATATTTGGGAAACCAAGTACATTTTTAGTAAAGTATTCTTTCGTGATAAGAGTAAATGTATATATAAAACAACTGGTAACGTCTCATGCATTTTTTTTATGATTCATTTGTGTCTTGGTTTTGTAAAGTTGTAGATTCTGATGTAAACAAGTCATCAATATCCTCACCAATATCCAAACATTCCTCTTGATTGGATGTAATTTTCCTCTTCAGTCTTGCCTCTCTTTGTCTGAGGAAAACAACAGAAAACTTATATTGTGCTCTCAGTCCCGATGTCTAAAGATGTTTTTGTGTTTAAACAAGAAATTATTAGTCTACAATTAGGTAATATTGGTGTATGTGTGTTTAACTTACTTTTTGCAGTTCATGCCATTCTCTCTAAAGCCTTTCGCAAAAGGATTTGAGTTTATCTTCAGTTCAGTAATCTAGGAGAAAACAAGAATTAAAAAACACTAGTTAGTTTATTAATTGCACAAATGGAATTTTTTTCTTTTTTTTTCTTTAAGTATATATATATATATATATATATAATATCTGAGAAATGTATTTTTCTCTCACCTTGCTGTTCTGGTATGCAGTGACCGTAATAAACTGTGTTTCAGGGAAGGTGAAAGAGTGCTGGGCTCTTCCCCACATCAGCACATCACGGGCCTCGATCACATGGACTCGTGGCTGGTAGCGATGTAGGGAGTGGAGGATGATCTTTAGGAGAAAGAGAGATGGAAACCACAGTTAAAGCTGTGGTATTGCTGAGGTACTGAGGAATTATTTAACAAAGACATAATGGCCATATATATATGGCTCATCTCTTTCGAAGCTACTTGACTTCATCATCATAAAAAAAATAAAAAAATAAAAAATTCTCTCTCTTTATCTATTCCTTCTCTTTCTAGCGTGTACTTATTTGAACAATGTCTAAAAACTTGGTATTACAAGCACTTCCTGTATCTGTTTGCCTCTTTTAAGAAGAATCGCTTTATGTATCCCCCAATTGTAAGTCGCTTTGGATAAAAGCGTCTGCTAAATGTCTAAATGTAAATGTAAATGTAAGGCATTAATGTGAGCTATATAAGTACTAATAAATAGCCAATATGCTAGTAACATGCATGCTAATAAGTAACTAGTTAATAGTAAGAACTGGTCCCTAAACTAAAGTGTTACCCAAATTTG